AGCGCAGAGACGGAGCGCACGGTTGGGTCGCGCGACAGTTCAGCCGCCGCTTCGCTCTTCCCGAAGACGCGGAGGGGGAGGGCGTGTCGGCCACTCTCGACAACGACGGCGTTCTCGCGGTTCGCGTTCCCCGAAGACGCTCGAAGACACCGGAAGAGCCGAAAGTGGTGTTCATTCCCGTCAGCGAAGAGAAAAGCGAAGAGAAAAGCGAAGAGAAAAGCGAAGAGAAAAGCGAAGTTTGTATTGAAGTGAACGGCAATTGAATAATAAAAGCATTTATTTATTGACTGAAAATGCGTTCATTTTTCGCTTCAATTCAGATCATTATGTCTTTCAAAAAGGTTTTCAAATAGAAATCAACGAATTTCTGGCATTTTTTCGCATAAAAAGTGCCAAAAGTTGAGTCATATATCGATTGGAAAACAGTTTTGATCGCAATTTCTCTCGAAAATAGGTTTTTCTGAAACCCTTTCACTCTATTCTCGCCAATAGATGGCATTCAGAGCGCCGTTGCGTCGAAAGCATGCTTTCGTGCCACTCGAGTGCCGCTCACATATTCCGTGACGACATTCGCGTCACAACAGAGCCCTGCAATGCATTCACGCGACGCCCCCTTCGCCACAAACGACACGTTGTGCGCGAATGTGTGCTCGCATTGCAAACACTCCTTATTTGTAAAGTAATTGCAATTCATTTCATTGAAAACAATAGACTTTGCGTTCATTAAGACTTAAATCGCGACCAAATGTCCGTTCAGTCCCTCCTTTCGGTGTCCGGGAGTCGAGTGTCGGGAAACTCCGTCCGCACCCAAAACGGTCAGTCCCTCCGAACATCTCCTAACGGCCACTCCTAACACTCTCTCCCGCAGTGATGGCCGCGTCCGCTATCGCCAACGTCGTGAAGTCCTCGTTAGGACCGATCGGTTTGGATAAGATGCTCGTCGACGACATCGGAGTCCGTATTCGCGCCGTTGTCGCCCTTTCCCGCACTAACACGCCTTTCCCTCCCGCAGGACGTGACGATCACGAACGACGGCGCGACCATTCTGTCGCTCCTGGAGGTGGAGCACCCGGCCGGCAAAATACTCGTCGATTTGGCGCAACTCCAGGACCAGGAAGTGGGCGACGGAACCACTTCTGTCGTGAGTATTGTTGTCTCTCTCTCTCCACTCTTTGTCCGCAATTCCCGTCAACTTTAACTTCGCTTCCTTT